ATCCCCGCCGCCCCGCGCTCCCCGGCCCGGGCCGCGACGCCCCACTTCCCGGGGCCGCCGCGCCGCGACGAGTTTTTAAACTTTGATGAAGTCGCTGGGCCAACTTTCTTAAAGGGGCCGCGCGCCGCGAGCAGATGGCGAGAGGAGGGGGCTACACCTGGGCCGCCGCCACCCCCAGCCTGGAGGCGCCGAGCGACTTAGAAGCGGCTCCCCTACCCGCTCGCCCGCGTGCGTGGCCGGAGGAACCCACTTCCCGCCCAGTACCCGGCGCGTCCGGAGACCCCCGGGCTGTGCGCCCCCGGCGAGCGACGTCCGCGCGCCGGAAGGTTCCCCGGGGCGCGCGGGGCCCCTCACCGCGCCCCGCCCCTCCCTGTGCGGGCCCAGCGGCTTCGCGACCCCTGCGGCGACCCGAGGGGGCGCGCCTGGAAAGCTGGGTCCGCGTCCGGAGCCGGCGAGGTTCCGGAGACCCGTTCCGGGGTCCCTGCGTGTCCACCTGCTGTCGGAGAAGCACCATGCGGGGCGGGCCGGGGCTGGGCGGTAATTTGACACCTGCACCCCGCGCCTGAAGGTGGCCGGGCTGCCCCAATGACTTCACCTGGTGCATAATCACCGCGCCGGGGACGTCCGCGGTGTCCACCATCCGCCGGCACCAACGCCCGCGCTCGGCTCAGGCGCAGCCAGTCCGTGACGTGCGCTGAAATTTACCCAGTTTTCGGCGGTACTTACAGCCTCTGCCACCTCCAGATGGAACGAGGCTTCCTTTTACTTTTTTGAGACAAGGTGTAGCTAACATGCCCTTGCGCTTTCCAGGGAAGCACTTATTCTGCTGAGCCATCTCCCCGGCCCCACGTTTCCCGTATTGAATGGGCTCCCTCCTTCCCTTCTCTCCTGGCTAAATAATTAGTGTTTGGGGCTGGGGAGATGGCTCAGTGGAATAAGTGCTTCCCTGGCAAGGGCAAGGGCCTGAGTTCAATCCCCGGTTCCGCAAAAAAAAAAGCCCTAAAAAAGGCCTTTCCCAGGGCTTTGGGACCATCACTGCCTGTGGTTCTTTCTCTTTGTTTCACTGAGCACCCCTCATGCTTTTATTTTTGCTTTTTTGTTTGTTATTGTTTGTAGTACTGGGGATACTACGGCCTGAATTCAATCCCCATCCAGCCACAAAAAAAA